GGGGGGGAGTTTCATCACAAAAGGACTTGGACATAAAAATCTACCAATAAAGTTCTGATGTATTTCTGTTAATCCATCCGTTTACTCTATTAATTTTAAACTTTTAATAGTTAGTAACCGATCGCTGAGTCTTGTGTGGTGTCATTTAAAACACAGGTTTGCGTCTTGTGGTTTGTGAGATTTTGAAAAAGACAAAAAAAAAAACTGGACAAACTGACATCTCATTAAATACCAGTGTACTCTGGGGAACCACGCGCTAAGCACGCGCCACGGGGACCAGATGGTGGTCTGTTACCGACCCTCAACCCCACCCTCCTCCGCCCAACCCCCCTCCACCTCCACCACCCTCCACCTCTCCCCATACTGCTGTGGCACCACAGCAGCATCCTGAAAACACACGATAATCATAGATCCACACACACACACACAGAGAGAGAGAACCTCTTTTATTATAAACTTTACAAGCAGGACACATGATCTCCACGCCCTGTTAGCGTGGGTGTCCCATCTGCATGCATGTTATTGTGTGTCCACACTAGTGTCCAACTGAAATGATGTCCTCACCTCCTCCCCGTCTGTCTGTCTCCTTCAGCTTGACTCCACGGGGTTTGAAGCGTCAGCTCCATGTTGACCAGCATCATATGACCCGTAAACTACTTGTTTATATCTTGTTTTTTATATTGTAATGATAACAAAATGGAAAATTAAAAATATGACGCTACAGTTTTTTACTTTTTGCATCATTTAACCTGAAATTCACATTTGTCTTTTTTTTAAGAACAATAAAATGAATGATGACGTTGTTTTAGTTTGATCTATATTCTATCTTCTTTGGTCAATTTGTGAACTAACTTGAAATAAAATTGTTTTTAAAATTGTGTTTTTGGAGGGCAGGGGTTGGATTATAGATATTTTAGTAAACTATAGTAATAATTCTGGCTGAATCGGGGTTCAATTTTATTTGTGCTTTGTTTGAGATTTTGTAGCTTTTTCATTTTTGTTTATGTGGTTTTCCACAGTTCAGGTACAATATTAAGATTTGTAGCTGTTTTGGTGTTACGGTTAATTTTATTTTTACATATTTTGAAGGTTTTATACCAGTTTTGGCACTTTATGTTGCTTACATTAGCTTTACTACAACTGTCCTTCAATTTATAAAATCGATAACAGAACAACAGTTTTGAACGTCTTTACGATAACAGACGGAGACGTTTGAGACTTTTGACTTCATAATAAAGACATGGTTCTTGTGTGTGTAGTAAAGTACTCACCAGTTAACTATATAATAAATATGAGCATTAGATTTAATTTTAAGGTAATTTATCCTAACCCTATCTTCTGACCACGCTGTTAAAATTGTTACTGTTACCATAAAGTCAGTGTGTACAACAATTCTAAATGTTTTCAGTTTTGGACAGTAAACACATATACTTCACTTCTTTATTGTTAAAAATGTATAAAAATATTTTAGGGGATTTATCTGGCGTTGCAAAGATCATCGGCCAACATTTTGTTTAATACTTTAGAACCTATGTTACATCACGCTGCGTTATTTCTGTAGCGGGGAAATCTACGTGCAGTTGAGAGGCACACTTGCAGCACGCGTCCTCTCCGCCCTGCTGGGATGGAGGGACGATGGGTGGATGTTGGGGGAGGGGTGAGGACAGGACTTCTTCAGACTTTTGCGTCTGTACGGTTAGATTCCTCTTTTGTCTTTTAAAGCAGACCCAGCGTCGGTGTCACCCATCTGTGCAGGACGGATAACAGGGAGCCTTTGTCTAAAATTGTTCCGATACTTCATGGGAATTAAGAGTCACGTGAGGCAAAGTCACCTGACTTTAAACCCTGCGTGATGCATAGCCAGGAACAGTGTTTCAAACAACAGCCAACATTGTTCTTCTCCTTATCATCCATTAACACAGTCTTTTAAGATAAAACTTTGGAGCGTTCAAAAAACACCGTTTATTCGCGCAGTGCATGAAAGATTCTCCGTGTGAATGTGTTATAGATTGAGACACGAAGACAAGAGATGATGGACAGGACGGAGAATAGACGATCTTCCTCTTAGACATTTTAATAGAAATAAAATCAAATTTGATTTTTTTTTGTTTTTGTTTTTGTTATCGAAAGTTAACTACGGTGATACGTGTAAGATTTAAAGCAAATGTTTCAAGCCCTTATTTGCTGACGAGTGGATGTGGCCGATACAGTTTTTCTGAAGAGGGTAGTTGACATTTATAAAAAAATATTTTTATGGTCGCAACACTACCATACAGATAAAAATATAATTTTTTAATCAAGTCATTTAGTATCATTAGTAGACATTTTAGTATATATTTAGTCATTTATATCGACAGTTAACCATATTCACCAGATATAGAGTCAATGATCTCTGTCATTTCAATATTACACAGAGTTTGGGGGCGTTTTTTGTAACTTGTTTGTTGCCAATAGTAAAATATTTAGAAGTGGTCCTGTTCTGTCTCCACTTTACCACGTTTCTAAACGTCATAAAGAATCATCGTCGTGCAGCTGAAAAGAAGAAAGTAGTCCACACTCACAGTCGACCTGAACCCCAACCCAAAAGTAAAGTGAGGTTTTTATTTGACAATACCACAGTCAGTTGGCTTATGATGCTCCAAGACGTTTTGAATAGTGTTAGGGTGATCGGAGGTCATGATCCAAAAATGTGTGTGACGTTTTCTCATTACTCAATATGCAATTTTGTGTAGGAGCTATTACTCATAATGTTTCTTCTGTTACACTAATATCTACCTCTAACACATAGACCTGGAACGAACCATATATTTAATAATGGCTAGCCCAACTTCTTCCCACCATTTTGGCGGCAGAGAAGCAGCAACAATGGAGCAGCTGCTCTGCAGCATCAATGGGCCGTGGGTGACCTGTGACTTTATGGGTCTGCGCGCCTTTTTTGTTCCATTCATAATCATGAGAGTCTTCTTTTTCAAACTTTCTGCTTTAGTCATACCTGTGAGGCGTTTATGGCTCATTTACGACCAGGGAGTTCCCCATAAAATGATGGCAAAAGATCAAGCAACACAACGATGTTCAATCGAGTCAGAATTTATTTTGAATGCACACTCATATACAAAACACTTTTATCAAAAACATTTTTTTCTTCGGAGGAGATTTTTTAAAAATCTATTTAACACACAGTGTTTACAGACTAATTGTTGCACAGACCAAATACTTTTAAGTCGTATCGTGCAAACCTCAAATAAAAATAATAACCCTTGGGGTTTTACAAAAGTTTTGTCTACAACCCATAACTTTGACACCCCAAAGAGGATTGCGTGCAGAAAAGTTCACAGACTTTACAGCTTCTTAAGGATCTGTGCTCGTGTGCCAGTCTTGGCATTAAAAGCAAAATCAGCAAAATGTTGATTTAAGGTAATAAACATCAAATACAGCATCTAAACCGTCACATCAGGAGATAAAAATACACAATAAAACATTTAGATCTATTACATTCTAATCTACCAGGGTCTCCACATGGTGGCGTTAACAGGTTGTGGGACCGGCTGTGCTCTACTGGTTGCACTGTTGCTGCTGCTGTTGCTGCGGGGCTGGTTCTCCAGTGTGGAGGTGATGCTGGATCTCAGGCTCTGGAGTCTCTGTTGGACCTGTGGGAACGTTCTGGAGCTCTGTCCGCAGCAATTCAGGCAGGTCGGGGTGACGGTGGTGGAGGCGGACTGCTGGATGAAGTCGTTCACCCGTTGGCACGCGTCCTGATCCAGGCTGGATTTGGGCAGCAGAGCGGAGACGCGCTGTAGACAGGCTTTGTAGCCTTCTCTGTAACTGTCTGCAGGGTCTGAAAACACGGGAGAGACTCGGTCAACGACTGCACTTTCACGTCTTATACATAATAAAACGGATGCTTTGCGTCGTAGTACTGCTTGAAATCAAAGAGATGATTATCACCTTTGGCTGGAGTAGCAGGAAGATCTCTGAGAAAGCGGACAGTCATCTCCAGAATGTCAGCTTTCTCCAGCTTGGAGTACCGTGCGTTGTCTTTGCCAACCAGAGGCAGGATCAGGCTCTTCAAATGACTCAGACTGTCATTAATGCGAGCTCGTCTTCTCTTCTCCAACAGTGGTTTCAAAGTCTGGAAGATAAAGAATTCAGTGTTATTGTTTTGTACCAAGAAGAAAAGAGTCAGAAGACTCAAATCTGGGGTGATATTAAGATCGATATTTCTGTTTTTCTCACCTTTCTCAGTTCATTGGCCTGTTTTCTCTGGGCCACGGTGGACCTGGCGTGCAGAGGCTGGCTGGCCTCGGTGATGATGCTGGGACTCATGTTGTTTGCTTCTTGTTCTTGTTCTTGTGCTGTGTGGTGGAGGATGCTTGCACTGAGGGCTGCTGAGCTGAAGTGTGGAGCAGAGGCTGGAGAGCCGCCTATTTATATGCGCCCGGCGCGTCAGAGAGGAGGGGAGGACAGCCATTGTGCTGGGCCTCTGACACCAGAGGAGGAGGTGGAAGAGGGGAGGACAAAGAGGAGGGGGGAGTCATAGTGGTGGTGCAATGCCTTTGGGAAATGACTAGGGCTCATGTCTGGACCATCTGGTCCTGACGGGGCCCCTGAGTCTTGCGCTGGTATGTGAAGTTTCGTGATGTTGTTGCATTATTGAGTTTATAAATTAATTTTTTTAACGTCTATCCATGATCCAATGACGCACTCTGAGCGAAGCAACTGCCTTCCACAGTACGCTACAACACATGGTGAACATCGGGATATGTGGATCTTAATTTTTTTTATTGTAGGTTGATTTTATTAATTGTATGTATAGTTAATAAATAATACAATTTTGTTTAGAATTGTGCTTCTTTTGCATCGAAAGTCAACGCTTACATGGATTTAATTTGTAAGAGCATCAGAAGCTTACTTTGCGTAAGCACAAATAAAATGATAAAGACTTTTAATTCTTACATTCAAGCATTGAACATTTACATGTCATCAACGTTCGCAGGTTTTCCTTGAACACAGAGCCAAACAAAGGAAACAAAGAGGTGATTGGCTGATGTTCCTGAGGAAACAGAAGTAATCTATTCCCCCCAAAAAATAATAAACCAGATACCCAAGCCACGCTATCCTGGCATTAACATCTGCTCATCAATCCCCAGATGCTCTGTGTGCAGCATCAACAACAAAGTTTACCTGGAGTAAAATGGGGGAGGAGTCAAAGTTGTTAACGTACGGTGCATGCAGTAGAGAGAGGGCGTTATTTTCCTCGTCACTGGAAACATATGGGTCATCCAGCTGGTATTTCTATGTTGGACATCTACGGTTGTAACGTGAAGCTCATTAGTTGGTTTGCAGGTTTAAGTGGATTGCGCACATGTGCATGTATGAAGGACAAATGTTATGTGTCTTACCGACGTTACTTCATTCAAACATGTACCAGTTGGTACTTGTGTAAACCAGGTTAACCTACAGAGGGTCCACTCAACACCCTTGCAGGATGCAGGCCACAAAAACACAAACTGATCAAATAACGTCATTATTATTATGCGTCTTAATACAAAAAGACCTGTAATTTAAACTAACGCGGGTTTTTTTAATCATATATTATAATCATTTGAAAGTTCTAGTCTTTATCTTCGGTAAATTGAACCAACCAGCGCTGTGCACCGCCAGTAAGATTCACGCGTTCGGCACGCGCCACACCAGCGCAACAGATGGAGACAACCCCCACCTCCACCCCCACCTCCTCGCCCACGGTCTCTATACTCCACCAACACATCCCCTCCCCCACACTCCTCTGTCTGTCTGCGCTGAAATTCTCCGCAGCTCTCATCCGCATCCCTCACCATCCTCAGAGCGCAGCAGCGCCTTTTTTAAATTTAAATTTGGAGGGAATTCAGTTTCTGCCACAAGGATGTAAGGAAAATAAATGTAAAGAAAAACAGAGCAAACCACAAACACATCAAAGCACCGCGGGCTCAGGTGTAAGGAATAATTAAATGCTTTGCGTTTTCTGTTCATAGTTTTATTTTAAAATATAACATTTACGCACAGAAAACTTACTATCAGCACAGAGATGAACATATTGTTGTTCATTTGCAGTTAAACCAGATACACGAGTCAATAGAGTATTTTATGTCTAAACACTCCGGACATCGTCTGCAAGCTGCCCCGCTCTGTTCGGGGCTTGAAGGGCTTAATTTTTTTCCCCTGGCATTATAAATGCGTGGTTTTTGCACGCGTCCTGTCCCATGGGGCCCCAACTGCCATCAAGTCCAGTCTGGGAACGGGCTTTTCGAGATAAGGCAAAAAAAAAAAGTTGCAGAGAGGCTTCGGTTGTGAGGTTTTTTGTCTTGGTTTCAGCGTGGGTATCCATCTGTGCAAGCTGAGAACACAGCAATCCTTTGTTAGAACCAGGAGTTAGAAGAAAGTGGATTCACCACCAGGAGTTTTGCAGGAACTGTGCAGAAAGAATATCTTTAGAATTCGATACCTCCCAGTTAACACATTGTCTTTAAACAATATTTCTAGCCTATAGATTAGACGAAAGGAACATTTTGAGTGGAATTAATTATGCTTTGTTGTTTCTCACAAACATGTTAATAATAACAATGTCAACATGCCCAGGTTTGGTGCATCAGAAATAAACCCTGCCTAATTCTTAACGTGTAAATACGTATTCTACCCGTGTGCAGGAGATAATTTCTGATCATTTCTTAATTAATGTGGGTGATTTTAGACCAATATTAACATGAAGAGGTGATTTTCCTCGTATCACCGACATGAGGCTGACACGAGCCACACAGCTGTGACAGATGGAGACTGGGCCGCCACCAAACCAGAGCGTCCTCAGACCCTGACTCGCCGATGGTGATCGTCCCCAGCAGCTTCACGAAGGTACCGTACCTCGAGGTTTGTCAGACACCAAATGTTGAACTGCAGATCAAAAGATGTCTGGCATCCCAAGCCCAAATACACGCCAACATTATCCAAATGACTCTCAAGCGTCTGTAGCGGAGAGGAGGCTGTTTCGGGTTTCTGTTGTGTTAATCATGGCGCAGCTATTGACACAAAAGACAAAATGTTTTTTTTTTTAAAAAAATAGAAAAACGAACTAATAAGGTTTGGATATTGGAATACAAAAATAAATCAAAAAACATTTACTAAATTTACCATATATAATAAAGCTTCTTGTTATTCTATACAAACGGACATAGTTCTTGAAACTCACCTGTTTTTAAATGATTTTACATTTAAACGGTCTCCACTTTGAATATATATATATACGTATATGTATATTAATATATCTTTGTATTGACAGAAACAGTATATATAATTAATATACACACTGTTACTGAATAGTATCCCATTGAATTCTTTAAAGCAGTCAATACAAAAAAAGCAAAGATTTCCATAGGATGCATAAGGATGGACTTCAGAAGTGACTCAATACTGATAATGGAAACCTGATAAATTCAGTGTATGTGTCTGCTATACATAGCACAAGGACTATTAGCACAAGAACTAAAATGTGTCTCTGTGACCATGAGACACTGTATGTCCAAGATTAGTTGATATTATTAAACAAATGTGATGCAAACATTTTTGACAATCCTTAGGCTTCACAAAATGCTCTTCGTTGAGATTTATACAAACTACACAATTGCTAAGAATCAACACTGACTGTAGTGTGTGAAGATCCTTAAATTGTAAGACAGTTTTGGCTCCAATTCTGCTTCACCAACACAGAGGAGCTGCACGAGCATCAGTGAGTGTCAGAAAGTGCAAACGTAAAGTGTTAAATAAGTGCACTTCATTGTCTGTTGTCTGTGACTTTTTCCATCTCACACTGAGAGGAGTCAGGTGTAAGTGACTGGTTGACACTTGGGTTCCATGAGCCAGTGTTCTGTGAGGTGATTATACCACCGTCACTACTGAATAATAATGGGATGTGTTTTTTGTTCTGTGTCTGAAATGTGACAGTACATGTTCATGATGGTCCCTTTAATATTGTTGACTATGACTATTTTATCCTCGGGATGCACAACCGTTTTATAGTAGTTATTTAGAAAAAGGAGAAAAGAATTCTGGTGGTTCTCAAAGTGGGGGTTGGGGAGGGCTGATGGGGATATATTGAATTCAAATTTCAATATATTCTGTTTTTGTGCCATGTTATGGAAATGTATTGATTTTTTTCTTTCGTATCCTTAATTCAATGTGAACAGCAGTTCTGTAGGAGTTCAGAAAAAGGTTTGAAGATTATTTTAAGCAATAGCTGCAAATGGCCTGAAACCACACTTTTAAATATATGTAAGCGTAATAGCTTAACTTAAATAGTCACTAAAACCATTGTTCTGTTGGACAGTAGTGGAGCTGAAGATAATTCTGGCTGAAATGGTGCAAAAACTGGTCTACACTCAGGACAGGTCACCACTTACAGACCCACACTCATGGTTGATTAAGAGTATCCCACCAACCAACTGCCATCCTGCATGTTATTGGACTATGGAAGGAAACCAGAGTACATGAGAAAACCCATGCACAGGTAGAACATGGAGACTCTAATCAGAAAGACTGCCAGTTACCATTTTTATGTCAAAAACATTACTGACATCAAGAAAATACAAATTGAATGAACAAAGATGATTCATTATTATATTATATATTATTATATAAGTGTTCATGAAAAATCTGTAACATGACCTGTAAGTAAGACCTGTAACCCCAAACAAACAAACAAACACATGCAGGGGTTGAGGTGATATTTTCAGTTCAAGGTTCTTCAGTGAAACTAAATCCTTTTCCTGCTCTGTGTAAAAAACATGTGTATCAACTGTGTATCAGAGCAACTAAAACTGGATAGACGACGAATTCATCAAATTTGAAGTCGGTAAATTTCACGAATTGATCCATTTGAATGTTTTTAAGAGTTAAACTGATGTTTACTTTGCTACATAATGAAATAACTGTTGTCACGAGCATAATAAATGCATTGCTTTTGTTTTCACCTTTGTTGACATGTTGACATGTTCTCATCAATTCTCTCTCTGAGGATGCAACATCCAGACCCATTAAACGATGACTTAAAGCTTCCCACGCCCAAAACAACGCCATTTCCACACAGCATCTGCCAACGCGAACTTTTTTTTCTTGCACGAAGTCTTTTTGACGTCACTGATTCTGCCCAGGAGTCTGTCTGCCTCCTTCAGGCCATGTGTTCCAGACAAAAACGTACAAAGTACAAGGGTGGAGGTTACAGTAAACATCGTTAAAATAAATTGATGTTGATGCTTTCTTTTGTCCCGGTTAATGAAACAGTTGAAAATCGAAAAATATTTCGTTACTCTTTATTACATTATATCTAAATACTGTGTGCGTCCTAGGAAGTACACCAGTGGTTTTAAATAATACCCAGCGAATATTTCTCAAATGTCTATAACCAACACTACGCAATGTTATATATCCTATAGATATCCTATAGATTGTAATATGTATTTTCCCACATTCTCATAAAAAGACTAAAGAATGTTTTACCTGAAGTGCACATCTAAGGTGCGACACGAGGAGCTACCGTAAGTCTTCGTGAATAATAATACATTTTGACATACAACATTATAGTGCAGTTCGCCATGTTTATTTATGATATATATCAACTGAAGACCATTTACAGTATCCTTTAGCTAAGACTAATCCAAGTATAAAAACCCTTATGTGTGATTTAACAAAAACGAATAAACTATATATATTGTTATTGATTTGGTATTTTACACAAAGACTAAATAGTGCAAAATGCATTCGGGATTTTTCAAGATTTAATATTATAAATGTATCCTCGTATTCATGTTGCACAAACACCGTCGAACTTTGCGGAACAGCGTCCCCTCACAGAAACCGTCCCTGCGTCACCACTAGACTCCAAAAACCAGAGTCGCAGACAGGATTATTTGAATATCCAAATGAGCCAAACCAAGCCAAATGCCAAGCTTCGATGCCACACCTCACATCTGGTCCGGTGGGGCACGTTTGTGTTCTTCGTCCAAGACGACAAAGGTAAACTTGCAGCCACGCACGCAACACTTTTCCACCAATAGCGGCGCTCCTCAGCTCTGACGGACCGTCGTCAGTGCTTCAGTCTGACACACACTAACACCACACAGACACTTTAAACCAGTTGTATAAATTGATTTATGATTTTAAGAATTAACAAAGGTATACTATGTGACATTGTTAGAGTTAACGACTTAAAAGAGCGAGGTAACGGATAGTCTGCTGAATTATCTGTAAATAAAATTTCAAAAACGTACCATAAAATCGTATTAAATAGATCTAAAATTAATCTTATCCGATCTAGGAAACACAAAACAAATAAACCATAAACAACGACTGTTAAAAGCAGTAGTGATACATTTTACATCCAGAGGTGTAAGATCACGGTGGAGAAATCATGCAGATATCAGAGGTGGAGTAAATCCTGAACAGAAACTGTCTGCGCTATTGATTTATAATTTATTTTAAAATAAATTATTATTTGCTCTCTCTAGTATCCAAGGTTAGGGCTGCAACTGTTTCCAAAATGTAATGATAGAATCATCAAAACAATTAAAGCAGAAAACGATTAAGAATGTCAGTCCGTTTGTCCGCATTGTGTTCTATTCACTATGAAGCAAAACAGCTAAAAACAAGGAAAACAATTATGGGATATGACCAAATACAATTGATTCTCTGTAAATATATTCAAGTGATTTTTTAGTTAGATTGTGGTTAGATGGATCTTTGAAAACATGCTTGTTTTTATGGGAATTGACTTTTCTGGATCCCACATAAACTGAAATTATTAAATTAAACTGAAACGGTTTTACTTGAAATGTGTCTTAAAGTTTTCCGTTTCTCCAGAAAATGAACGCAACGGAGAAAAATACAGAGAGGTTCAAGTCAGTAGTATATTCGATGTCTTACCAAACCTATACTTTTAAAGTAGAATCATCAGAATTATCCTCTACTACAGGTTAGGGCTGGGACCATGGACAATAACGATGCTGCAGTTGGAGTTTAGGATGAAGGGGTGGGACTCTGTGGACAGACGCCGTGATGGCGGGTTTTTCGAATATTGGATTTCTGCATCCATTGTGTTGTTATATCAGGGGCACGAGAACAGCACGAGCCACGAGGACAAAGGGAGCAGATGGTTTTCCTGCTGCCAGGAATTATTCTGAACTTCCAGGGACACTGTGGGGGCCATTAAGAGATGTCCTCTGAGAATTAAAAACCAAGAGGAAGATAATCAGCCCCAAAACAATTACAGCGAGCTATTGCATGTGGCATAGGTAGGAAAACAGATCTTTTTTTACCCTTTAAATTAAAAAGGTACTTACAATAACTGCTTATATGATAAGGATTTACTTGTATAGAAAATTAGGATACATTTTCACTTTTACATATGTATAATATATAAAAGTGCAAATGTATTGTATTTCTGTACAACACCACTCACTTGATAATTCAACCATCTTAATTACAATTTTGTGTCATTTCTTATGGAATACAGTATTTGACTGAATGTAGACAATAGAGAATGAACAATGATGAACATGATTGTCCAACAGCAGGTGTTTACTGTTGTCAGGCTCCAAATGATATTATTATGTGCATCATGGATATCTGGTGCAATACAATTTTGTAGCTGATTCTTTCGCACAGTGAAAATGTTATTTCAATTAAAACTTTATTTCCACCATCTGTTATCTAGTTGATTCGCAGTAACACTTTATAAGATGGATTTCATATCCCATAAAGGAAGACCTAGAATTCAAACAAAGAGCAGCAAGAAAACACCGTCCACATGGAGGGTTGAGGGGGGGTGGAGGAAGTACACGAGGAACCTGCACTTACCACAACCTCCAACTAGTCCACCAAAGACACTATTTTGGATTTTAAGCCAAATACTAACTATTTTGTCTAACTTGAAAATTAATTGAGCAATATGTGTAACCTGAGAGACCAGCAGACAAAGAACGGATGGTCCTGGTGGTCACCACGCTGGACAGGCTACACCACCATCTCACCGTTATTGCTTCCTTAAATCATGTTCCAGCAATTGTTGCAACAGTATGTCCTGTTTTGGGGTTCCTTTTCTGAGGCCAATCTTAAATGTCCTTAACCAAATCTTTTTTTAATTTCTTTTAAGAACAATCATTCCCTCTTTGACTTTGTGACCTTATCTCCAAACTATATATATGTACTGTATATATATGAATATATATACGACTATAGTATATGAATATATTTTTTTATATAGTTTACTGTATATAGTTTTTATACAATATTTCCGTTTCCTGTTCTACACTACATCAATGTTCAACGGAGTCAGCGGCAGATACAGGGCGTGTCGTGGTGACTACACGGTGTCCGCCCACCCAGACCACGCTTCCCTGTCACTGAGATCCAAATCTCGTGGGCGCTCAGGGCAGGAGCATCAGCGACCAGGAGCAGAGGGGAGACCAGACATGACTCATGGTATGTTCTTTTTTTTAAATAAACACGACTTTGTAAACATGTATAAATGTGATGAGTTATTTGCACGTAAGAACGCAGCGAAATTAGCCGTTTATGTAATATAATTAAGTTCGCTATGATTTCATGATTTTTGTAATAACCCTAAGGTGATAAGAGGGATTGGGCTACACGTGGCCGTGAATGTTTACATGTTTTAAATACTGTATGCAGGGAATTTCTAGCATAAATAATATGAGACATTAAACTTTATCAAAGAAAACCTTCCGCCCCAATTACATTTATTTATTTACTTTTAAATACCAAAAAATAAAATTACATCAATTTTGCTGTTTTTCCTCTTTCTCTGAATCCGTGTAAATATTTCTTTATATTTCTGTGCTTTTGAACGATGCTTTAAAAATGATATTATTATTAAGTTCATTACACGTTGTTCAATATTTAGCTCTCTTTTAGTTACATTGTTTGTTTATATTTATCAGTCTTCAGGTTAACCATACTATTTGTATGCTTTTGGGCCAGACTTCTATAGTAATATAAAGTGTTATCCAATGGATTGTTATTCTGTATCATATATTGTATAGATAAATACTCTGAAATGCAAAACAAATCATCTTAATAGGGTGCAGGTCCTTTGACTGCAGAGTCTGCATTGTTGAAATGCCATGTCTTGTCAAATCTCTAGTCCGTGTTCCTGTCTGCTGCTAATGAGTGGGAGTGTGAGAAAGTCTGACCAGTGGAATTCTCACTGCAGGTCATGGCTGACAGCATCATCGTGGGAAACACAGAAGACTGTGAAGGTTGAAACAAGAAAGAAGTCACAAGGTGAACTTTGGAAAGAACTATAACAAATGTTACACAAACTTTTTTTTATAAAGGGAATTAGTCTGAATGAAGTAAAAGCAGAGACAATGTGAAAAGTTGCATTTGGTCTAGAACAGTGGATGTTTGCCAAAATAATTTAGTCTTACAAGGAAATTACCTCTTCCTTGAACAGCACATATACCTAAGCTATTGTTTATTGATTGGCGAATCCTGACCAAAGTGAAACAGAGAAAACTAAAATAAATTCATGAGAGAAGTTACAGCATATCAAAATGAAATCATTATTTGAAAGATTACATCTGGGCTACAATACACAGAACATATTTGGTAAAAACAAACAGAGTTCTGTACATGTAACACAACTATTTACTTGCCATATAAAGGATATCTTTAAATGTCTACATATGTTATAATAATAAATATGATATAATATTATACTAAGTTTAATAAAATTTGAAAACATTGTTGTTGTTGAAAGGAAGTAGAGAATGAAGGCAAGAAAGAAAAAATAAATTATCATGGAAATTAGGAAAGAAGGATAAAAAACAAACAACCTAAAACTAAAACAGACAAATAATTGACAAACAAACATGGAAGACTTTCGGTATTTTAGACAGCTTAATGAAAAATAAAATAATTTTATGTGTGTGTGTGTGTTTCTTTGTTCTGCTGCATAATAAAAGTGATTTTGTCTGGCGTCTTCTTTCATCAACGGTACCCACATTGTTACACATTTGAACATGAACACTTAAAAAAACATTGTGACCTAATAAAAAAGAGCAGTCAACTCAATTAAAACGGACTGCATGGTTTGTATTTTAAATAAAATACAATGTTTATATTTTTATTTATTTAAATATGTTTAGCACGACTGACAACTTCCGGTCTGAGTGCAGACAGGTTCGAATCAGGCGGAAGTAACTAACATTGGTACGCGTATGCTAACTGGGCCGCTGTTGGTTACAAGGTACTAAACTATTACACTACTACAACACTATTATTGTTGTTAATATTGTATTATTATTGTTGTTGTTATTATTATCAACATTATATGTTTTCCATGGACCGTCATTTAACTTCAGTTTAAGAGCACACTGGTAAATCCCCACCGTGGTGAAGCCTGAATTGTTTTTTCTTGTTTTTTTTACTGGTCATTTCAGTTTAGCGTTGGGTCCATTCATCTCTTCAAACTGACAGAGTTCTCTTGTCTTATTCTCACTTGGACTTGAGCAGAACATTTAAATGTTCCCGCTCGCTCAGCAGCAGTAGTAGCAGCAGATGTGTCCATACAAAGGCGGGGGCCCCGCACTGAATAATTCACAGCAATTTAAATAACTGTCGCATGTCTGACGCGTGCAAGCAGTATCCCAGCTTTCCCAGGCTCTGCAGGAAAACCGTTGGCAGAGCCTATTTTTCCACTTGAATGGGGATTTAGAGTCTCGTGGCTTTGGCTTGTTAGAGTTGAAGGGTCTTTGTAGAAGCCTGGGAACAGAGTTCAATTCAGACACATACTATTAGAACCTTCGTTAGAGAGCTGTTATTATTAACACAGGGATGCTGCTGCTGCTGCTGCGAAAATCTCCAGCTTTACTCTGGGTCTTATTTTATAAACAGGCAAGTTTAGACAGCATTTTATTTTTATTAGTATTATTTTTATAGCTATTATACAAAACCTCCCAATAATGAATAGATACATGACACAAGGCAAATCCTGAGGACAACTGTACGCACAAAAACTCAAGTTGAATTCTAGACTAAATGTGACAAATTAAGGAATATAGTTTAATAGTCGGGCAACAATATAATTCTAATACATAAAACTAATAATATAATCTATGATTAACCATTTAGAGAATGTAAATATAAAATGTTATATGCTAAACACTAAAACCGTGTGTTTTAGTATATATTTAGTATATATATATTTAGTATATATTTTTCATCCAACACGTTTGCTAAATCTAAAGTGCTAAATATTTATTTTTTATATTTATCCTGTTCGTTTCACTGCCTTGAGATTCAAAGCACATTTACTAGAATAAATGATTGTGGATTGAACAAAGTACTGTTCAAGTCAATATATTTAGCTTTGCTCCTGCACAATTGGCATAGAAATGAAAACATAATTTGAGCAGAGGTTAGAAGATGTTACTCTTGCATTAAGTACGAAATATATTTAAGAAATAATATTTTGAAACATTTGAATTGTCACTGTTAATAAGCTGGAAGATTTGAGAAGGGGAATTTCTAGACTAATGCATCTTGCAATTTAAAGAAACAAGCAATATGACACAATTAAATTTAGCATTACACATAACTGAGCCTTCCTTCATATCTTTCTGATCTTACCATATGATCTTACCATATCATACCACCCGACGTTTTCAATATAATAATAATAATTAAAAAAAATATAATAATAATAATAATAATGAGGTCCCCGGAGTGACTGTGTAAAATCGTCTTGCCACATAATAAACGGTGCCTCCCATAAGCTGTGTTAAAGTGTTATTATTGTCTATTTCCCTCTGGGAATTGTACACTTAGTCAGGAACGCTTGAGGGAATTTGGGAATAACTCCCTCCCTCCTGTTGCCCGGTGTCTATGACAGTTGAACCAGTGCAACAGATGGTCCGTAGTGGCACGCGTCGAGCACGAGACCAGCCCGTAGTAATGACCCCCACCCTCGTCACCCTCCCCCCCAAAATCACTCCGCAGCCTCCTCCTTCTCTGCGCCGCCTTATCCAGCTGAAACCAACCGATAAGAATTCGAATCTAACCGGGGAAAGTCTGCAGAAAACGGGGGGTTTGAGTTTGACGTCATTATGTGCGTGTTTTGTTTTTCATATTATTTAATCCTACGCGTAATTACAGTAGTAAAACATTTAAATATTTAATCGATTCACCATGACAGATATAACGGCTATTGAACTTGAACTACCTTCTATTATTCACATACATACATTTTTTTTATTTACTTGTGTTTTACCCACATGCCTATAATTTCTTCAACGTAGCTCAATAAACTGTGTTCAATGACACGCAGTGTGTTATGATCAGAGGAAAAGAATAAGCTGTACTCACCTGGATGTTGACCTGTACTGAATATGAAGCTTTCCTGCCGCCGTTTGGTGATTTAATGTATTGCAGCTTAGAGCAGTCACTTGGTTACACTGGACACTATCATATACGAACACAGGTAACAGCTTCAGTAGTCTATCCTACATTCTAAGTAGATGCTGCGTGAACATAAAATGATTGAATGAATGATTTTTTTTTTACTATAATCTTTGTTTATCAGGTAAAAGGACTAAAATACTTTTGAATATTTTCACGTACCAACTTTAGTGTATTTGTTAAATATAACCCTGAATATTTTTGTAATTGAATAATGTGAAGGTTGGCACAAAGTAAATCACAATGCATTTTGCTTGCAAAGAAAAAAATTCTAAGTGTTCAAACATGTCTCGAGTTAACTTGCACAATGTGGTATTTGGCTTTATAGATAACGATGCCTTATTCTTAATACACTATATTTAATGCACATAATGATCTGGATTTTCAACACAGCTCATAAGTATATATTTATTAAACTACAGTTTTACAACCAACCAGCAGATGGACCTCTAATGTCTGAAGACATTAGTATTGAACATGTATATGGGCATATATATAGACATGGAGTCTGTGTGCAAACAACCAGTCAGGTGTTCCAAAAGGTACATGCTTAAGTCAGTATCTGGGTGTTGGTTCTGCTGCTTATAGGCGGTTATATAATAAGGTAAACTGCAGATAAAGTAATTTTAAGCAGACTGTTCGTACTGTCCCTTTAACTTGTGAGCCGATTTCCAGAAAGCATCGAGCTGTAACAGGCTAAGCTCGATCCTCCCCCTGCTGGATTATTTAACAGGCGCTCAGTCCCACGTCGCCATCTGCTTTAGAGGGAAAACACTGCGGAATATTCACCGAGACACCTGACAGAGGCTGCTTCAAATGGAAATTAACGAGGTATATAACATGAAATAATATGACAACTACTGACAGGACAGAAATACTTTGCATGCCACAGGTGTTGAGCTCCTTCTGGGTGTCAAACAGTAAAGACGTGGATTATTGACCTACATCATCGATCAAAACACTGGGAGCAGGTTAGTCTGTCATCAGTGAGACACGCTGCTTCATCTCAGCATGTAACCTCCACTCAGAGATCCAGTCCATGAAGGGATGTTCCTCTCACTGTGGCCACTTGGAAAGATGTGGAAATGACACATCCAGCTTTTCAGCAAGTTCAACTTAACTCCTATTATCTGGAACTTTGAGAGCACGATGGTGACCTCATCCTCACGGTGACCTCATCGGGCTGAATCCCAAACACACTCAAACCCAAGTCCAGGACCCGAGTGGACCAGAGTCTGCAGCAGGTCATGGTGCAGGATGTCACGGACAGGGCGCTGCTCGCCGCCAGACAGGGGGATGTGCAGGCGCTGAAAGCGCAGTTAGCGGAAAATGCGCTCAACAACGACATCAAGGATGTTCTGGGTGCTACACCTGTCCACCACGCAGCCCGCGCCGGGAAACTGAACTGTCTACGGTTCCTGGTGGAGGAGGCAGGACTGGTGGGCAACTGCCTGGCAAAAAACGGCGCAAGCCCGGCGCATGACGCAGCAGCCACCGGTAACCTAGCCTGTCTACAGTGGCTGCTAACCCAGGGAGGATGTAGAGCAGAGGTGAGCCACCGTACAGCAGAACTCAGTATTACACACCTCTTAGGAAGTATTTAAACGTGGTTCCTGAACTGTATTTTCTATCCTCTTTATACCTTTAAATCATTAAGAAAAAAAGAGTGATCTGGACTGCAGGCAGGCCAATCAGACACAAACAGTACACGTCTATGAAGCCTCACTTTGTCAGATTTTGGACCCTGTCTGCCTTTAAGTTACCTAAATTATATACATTGAGCACATTTACCATATTGATGTATACGTGCTGCCAACAACTCACACAGTGAAACTTTGTTATGTTTTCCTTTTTGTTTTTATGTGAGCTTTTCCTTGGTTGTCCCAGTGCTGCATTTGCAGCATTTTCCATGGTAATGAAACATGCAAAACTTTATTTGCAAATGGAAAATACTGCATTTCTTTAAGTCAAAGCCATTTTTAACATGATAACTAGAAGTAGATGTTTGGTATTTTAATCAGTCCAGTTAATCCTCCACATGACAGGATTAAAGCACATTAGTCTCAGTGCTGTAGTTTCCACACAACTGCTTGGACTAAAATGCAAAAATTGTATACATAGTGCAACAGTGTATTGTGTTTTCTGCCCCTTTATCTGCACCACATGTATATTTATTCCAATATTGGAGCCATATTGCTATAGGTTTAATCTAATCTCTTTAATCTGTTAATTTCACAGTCATTTTGAAACTTGGTGCTTCATTTTGTTTCTCTCCTTATCAGACTTCCACTGTGTCCTTGTTTATTAGGAGTTCCAGTTGTGGTTACCTGGCTGATGTTTTAGTTTGAAGTACACCTGAGCAGTAACAGACTGATTTCTTTTTCTGCCAATTCTTGCTCAGAAGTCCAGGCTCATCACTGCTCTCGTCAGAGAACTAATCTATGTTGTTCATGGCCTTTTCTCGGAGAGTCAAACACATCATTGTCACTTTGCCATCAGAGTTTCTTGTACACACTACCTCGTACACATCTGTGGCGTGAGACTCTAGTTTTACTCTTTTGCAGACCATGATGTCAGTTTTGTAAATTGCACTTATCTGCAGTGAATCAGGCACCTGATCTGACCTGTGGTAATCTGTGAGACTAAATTTAAAAACAACGTAATAAGAGCTCCATTATCAACCTCCTGTGGACAAGGCTGATGGAGCAGAGTAGAACAGCAAAGAGCACCAACACAGCAACAAAGCAGTGATAAAGATACTTGGCTGACAACTAGTGAAACCTATCACTTACCAGTTTCAATACAATTTACTTGATGGGTGGCCAAAGCGTACTTCCACTTTTCACTATTGTGTTACAGAGCTCTGGTCCCAAATTCATTCCACATTAATGATGTCCTTTAGTCATTCTGCTGACTCAGACTCCTGATTTTGGAACATTCTATTTGTTTGTATTCATTCTAACCTATTATATGTTTTTGACATTTTTTACAAGTCCAGGTTTAAATGTACAATAGAATCAGTTGTTTCATGTTTCAGTCTGAGATAAATGCGTGTCGGAATAAAAGGTTGTTACCTTTTTATATCAGAGAAGAGCCCTGTGTCCTTTGCTTGTTTGCAGTAGAGATGAACAAGTTGACAGACGAGGACAGACTGGAGCCTCCGTTGACCAGCGATGTTTGCGTTGTAATCTGTGGTGTGAGTAAAGAGCAGTTGACAGAGAAGCTAAAGCCTCAGTGGTGATGGACGGGTT